TTTTATTGTCATTTTGTATACAGAGTGTTTTAGACAGTGAATGAGAGGCAGCTTAGCAGCAAAATGAGCTTTCATTTCATAAAGGGCTGCAGTGACCAAAAAACATGGTGCCAAAACGCATTGATATGGAAGTTCAGAACATTAAATATACAGGTGCTGGTCATAAAATTAGAATATCATGAAAAAGTAGATTGATTTCAGTAATTCCATTTAAAAAGTGAAACTTGTATATTATATTCATACATTACATACAAACTCATATATTTCAGATGTTTATTTTGTTTAATTTTGATGATTACAAATGAAAATCTCAAATTCATCATATCAGAAAATTAGAATATTACTGAAGACCAATAAAAACAAAGGATTTATAGAAATGTTGGCCAACTGAAAAGTATGAACATGAAAAGTATGAGCATGTACAGCACTCAGTATTTAGTTGGGCCTCCTTTGGCCTGTATTACTGCAGCAATGCGGCGTGGCATGGAGTCGATCAGTCTGTGGCACTGCTCAGGTGTTATGATAGCCCAGGTTGCTCTAATAGTGGCTTTTAGCTCTTCTGAATTGTTGGGTCTGGTGTATTGCATCTTCTTCTTCACAATACCCCATAGATTTTCTATGGGGTTAAGGTCAGGAGAGTTTGCTGGCCAATTAAGAACAGGGATACCATGGTCCTTCAACCAGGTACTGGTAGCTTTGGCACTGTGTGCAGGTGCCAAGTCCTGTTGGAAAATGAAATCTGCATCTCCAAAAAGTTGGTCAGCTGCAGGAAGCATGAAGTGCTCTAAAACTTCCTGGTATGTGGCTGCGTTGACCCTGGACCTCAGAAAACACAATGGACCAACACCAGCAGATGACATGGCACCCCAAACCATCACTGACTGTGGAAACTTTACACTGGACTTCAAGCAACGTGGATGAAGTGCCTCTCTTCTTTTCCTCCAGACTCTGGGACCTTGATTTCCAAAGGAAATGCAAAATTTACTTTCATCAGAGAACATGACTTTGGACCACTCACCAGCAGTCCAGTCCTGTTTCTCTTTAGCCCAGGCAAGACGCTTCTGACGCTGTCTGTGGTTCAAGAGTGGCTTGACACAAGGAATGCGACAGCAGAAACCCATGTCTTTCATACGTCTGTGTGTGGTGGTTCTTGAAGCACTCACTCCAGCTGCAGTCCACTCTTTGTGAATCTCCCCCACATTTTTGAATGGGTTTTGTTTCACAATCCTCTCCAGGGTGCGGTTATCTCTCTTGCTTGTACACTTTTTTCGACCACATCTTTTCCTTCCCTTCGCCTCTCTATTAATGTGCTTGGACACTGAGCTCTGTGAACAGCCAGCCTCTTTAGCGATGACCTTTTGTGTCTTGCCCTCCTTGTGCAAGGTGTCGATGGTCGTCTTTTGGACAACTGTCAAGTCAGCAGTCTTCCCCATGATTGTGTAGCCTATAGAACTAGACTGAAAGACCATTTAAAGGCTTTTGCAGGTGGTTTGAGTTAATTAGCTGATTAGAGTGTTGCACCAGGGGCCATCAATTTTGAACCTTTTCACAATATTCTAATTTTCTGATATGATGAATTTGAGATTTTCATTTGTTGTCATTTGTAATCATCAAAATTAAACAAAATAAACATCTGAAATATATGAGTTTGTATGTAATGTATGAATATAATATACAAGTTTCACTTTTTAAATGGAATTACTGAAATCAATCTACTTTTTCATGATATTCTAATTTTATGACCAGCACCTGTATATGGTGCACTTATGCAGTGTTTTGGTTTAGTGTTATCAGTGTGATGCAGAGTCTGTGACATGATTTAGAGTTTTTTCAACAGTTCAGCAGTCTGATTGCAGTGGGGAAGAAGCTGTTGCAGAACCTGCTGGCCCTGCATTGGATGCTTCAGAGATCTTTCCAGAGGGCAGCAGGGAGAACAGTCCATGGTGGGGGTGTGAGGGGTCATTGATGATGTTAAGGGCTAGGGACACACAGCACTGGGATGAAATGACTTTTATGGAGGGTAAACAACTTGTCCAAATCCTGTTTTTTTTTTTTTTTTAAATAAGCTTCCATCTTTCTGTTTTTATTTTTAAGTTGACAATGTTGCCAAGTCTGATAACAAACGTCAACAAAAATCATATATACGTATATATATTAGCAGTTTGAGCATTAGACTATGCTCTAGATAAAAAAAAAATAAAAATCTAAATGAGAAAAACACCCAAAGCTCTTCAGATATAGAGTCGAGCGGATTTTTTTGTTGTCTTATTTGTCTGGATTGATGGTTTTCTAGCTGTCAAAATGAATGATTTTACTAAATGTACTGTTGAAATTGCAGTTGATAAGTTCAGTTGCAGAACTTAATTTAAAATAGTTTATTTATGCAATTCTGCAGTGGATATTTCCTCAGGTTTTGGTGTTAACACAAATTACCTTAAAGTGTCCATCTTTTATTCGTTTTTCCCTACACAACTGTAATTTAAATGAAACTCTTATTTTGAAGAGTCTTGTTTTTACAGTAAGAAAGGAACTGTTAAAAGAAATCCTCTTACATTTATCATCTTTTACTAACTAATCTGTCATTTCAATTTAACAGTGGAGAGCTCCACCAGAGTCATGCCTTAAAAAAATGACTTGGTACAATCCAAAACATCATCACCACCATGATGACATGTTATCCTGGGTTTCACAAAAAAACAGCAGACAAACCACAACATCCGAGTTCAGTTACCAAAGTAAACATAATGAAAGTCCTGTGCTCGGCTGTCTGCCCCCAAACAACTTGAAGTAATTACCTTTGCACACATTCCACCCAGTAAAAAAATAAAAAAACTGAAGGGAAAACTTCAAGTACAAAGTACAAACAGTGAATGCTTTATTTAGTTTCAAATTTTATTTAGTTAACAAATCTATACTATGTACATATTTTCAAAAATCAACAGTATTTATTTTACAACAACTGTTTAGGTTACAGTAACAGTGGGTCAAACTGGATCAACAGAATATTTACACCCATCAGTCTCGCAGGACATTATAAATATTCACAACCATTTCTAAACATATGGCAAGGAGCTCTATGCTAAGCTACTGAGATAAATATGTTGCATCAATTTCAACTTTTTTTATTTGTTTACAGTAATCCAAATACTTTCTAAGGTCAACGCTACGCTACATTTCTGTGAAGAAAACCGACCAAAGGTCAGTGGACAGCCTGATGCTATCAGGGGCTTAAAAGCTTCTTAGTCTCTACATTAAAAATAATGAAGATGACCAGATACTGCATAGATTCAGACGGGAACTTAACTTCATCCCATATACAATCAATTTCAAGGGACAATTCCAGGGTTTTCCATAACATCTTGCAAAAACTACTCATTTAATCATTAACATACAAAGTTCTACAGCATAGAGATTACCGGTTTCAAAGAGTTGTGGTCTTTTTCCTCATCATACACCAGTTGAACCACCTCCGCCTCCTTAATTTAAGGTCACTTTTGCTATAGAGTCAATAAGGGTTTTAAAGAGCTCTTAAACACGTCACAAAAAGTTGGTACATAGTTTTGTTTGACCAAAGCAGCAGAAAACCAATGAGCCCTTGGATGTAGTCCTATGTGCTAAGAGGCATCAGGGCAAAGACTCACAGTGTGAATCATGTTGGCTGGAGTCACTCATGGTTGGACTGTCCACTGCTTTCATCCACAGTGAAGGTTACTTTAGATTTCCTTAGATGTTCGCCTCATGCTGAGGTGCATGAGGAGGGATGTGAAAATGTTCTTCACTAAATCTTGACATAAGAGAGTGATAAGGCAGAACATTGAGGACAAGAAAACAGGAAAAGCAGCCATTCTGAGGTCCATTTGCAAAAAGTATGGTAAAATACAGATGATAAAACAGACATTTAAAAAAAAACAGGTCCAAAGGATGCTGAAACATCAACAGAATCAGGAGGCACTTTAATGGAAAAAGGAGATTTTTTTTTCTTTTTTTTTTTTCTGAGTAATCCCACCGGGTGCTTTATAAGGCTTGTTTAAAGATCATTTTGCAGGAAAGCACATGATGCTACAAAAACAAGTTTTTTGCCGGTAAAGACTTATAAAAATGAAATAGCGCTTTTTTTTGTGTGTTTAGGGAAAACGAATTAAGTGTAGGCAGGAAGGTTAAAAAATCCAGCATTTCAGTATTCTTCCATAATTGCTGCCTGTTTTGTGTCCCACTTGCATATCAATTTAATCAGCTTGCACAAAACCTACTTAACCAAGCACAAATCTCTGGAGGTATTTTCATTCCAGGTCGAAATCCACACCAAATATTTACATCCAGTAGGAAGGTGGGATGCAGTGATTGCATTAAAGGGACAGCAGTTAGATAGTTTTAGTTAATTATTAACATTACAGCTTCAAGGACTAGAACAGTTTCTCTATGCTCTTTTCTTGGTTCCTTTTATCTAATATATTGCTATATTCACATTTAAAATTGTGCTTTAATAATAACTTTAGATTTTCTTTACATGTTAAAAATGTCATTTCTACAGGTTGAAAAAAAATCATTTACATCTTAGATTTGATTTTATTTTTATCCCCAATCAAGCTTTTCCATAAAATAAATAAGGGGGCAAAATATTAAACAGATGAAGATTGTTTTTTTTTAAATGTGCCGATAAAATGCAGGCTGATCAGAAACAAACAAGGGTTTTTACATCCATGTTGTGTTGCGAGGGCTGCGCTGGTTCAACTTAACACTAAAACCATTTTACAGCCAGTGTTTAGTATTTTTAGGGATGACATAAGTTTGTTTTTGCCAAAGTTAAGGCATGCCATAATTATGTCTACAATATAAATGTTGCTTATAAAAAAAACTCACAATCTTCAGACTAATTACTTCAGCTGGACATAACAAGCCAAAGCTTGTTCTTAGTAAACATACGGCACTAAACCTATTTCCTGTTGCAGTGCTTGAACCTATTACTAATCTTTTTAAAAAAAAATCCACATATATCCAATCCCACAATGGAACAAACAGTTAAGCAGCATTCATGGATATTCTCATATCCACCTCATTTAGTCTTCTTAAAATAACCAGTTCTTGCTAGGAGGTGTAAACTGAGGTCAGAAGATGCTATTTTTTGGGAAGGCCTGACTGCTTAGAAGCAAAAAGAAAATAAGTAAATCAAAGCTACAGCTGGAGTCTGTTTGTCTGTAAGAAAAACACTAAACTGAAGGCCTCTGGGGGGTTTTCTATTGTGAAATGCTCGGCTGAAGTCTTAAGAGTTGTTAAATGGTTTATATTTCTCAGTTGCAAGAAAGTACTAAGAGCAACAGACCATAATTCAAAATCCAGGCGGTCAAGAGAGAGCTCCTCTTTTGGCTCTCTTGTCAGAAATAAGTGTGAATGTGTTAGCAGTGTCCTTCAGCAAAGTCTGGAAGATGCTGTCTGCGAGCTGGAGCTTGACACACAGTTCGTCCTCGTCGTAGTTAACCCACTGGGCCTCCTCCTCATGGAGTTCCTGGGCCTAATAAACAAAAACAGACTTCACTTCAATGACTAGGAGAGAAAACTAAAATAAAACATTCACACCTTGATGTAAAATTTACTTTCTCTTCAATTTCCTGTTTTTGTTTTTTTTTTTGGGGGGGGGGGGGGGGGGGGGGGGATAAAATAAATAAATCACTTTTTCCTCTAGAGTCTAATTTAAATGAATGATTTTCATATTTTTATAAAAGGCTTTGGTCTTATGCATAAATTGTTAAATGCTAATAAAACTTAACTACTGCATTTACTTGCATAACAGAGGCACAGCTTATTTAAAAAAAAATTAGGTTTCATTGTTTATGTAAATTAATAAAAAAATCTCCTAAATATATAAACACACAATATTTGCTCAAATGGTAAAAACAGGCCATTTTTTCTAGAGACACCTTCAAAAAAACTTAACACCAAATAACAAAGACTGGTTTAAATTCCATCCATAATATTAAATGTACTATTAAGACATCATGTGCGATATTTTATGCTGCAAATGCCTAAAAATTTAAAAGACATAGAAAAATAAAATGTTTAGGTCTTACCAGAATGTGATCAACCCTGTCCCTCTTCTTCCTGCCAAATTTGAGCATCTTCTGCCAGTCAGTCTTTTGACTCTGATCTTGCTTCAGACCATACAGCTTAAGTACTTCTTCTGTGACAAATTCCTGTCAAACCACATAAGACAATATCACGAGTTAGTTGCTTAATATACTATGTAAATAAATATGCAACATTGTATTAAAGGAAATCAGCGAACAAGAAGAAAAAAAAAAAGGCTGCAGAACTCAACCTGAATTTTGTTGATGTCTCCAGCGGTCTTGACTCTGTGAATGAAGGAGGACTTTACTTGACGTGGTTTGACCCACTGAGGTTGATCAGTATTCGGATCTTCAGCAAATATTTCCTTAAGTAACTCCCATGTAAGGTCAAACACGGCCTAAGGAAAAGATATAACCAAAAAACACAAGCTGTGACATGCAAGTAAGGAACCTCAAAATAGATCAAGAGATTTTTTTTTTTACATTAGGACAATGGCATGCATGTAACCAAGGCAATTTAAATGACCTGCAACAAAGTTCTTAAACTAAACCGACTCCTGTTGATGGTGTTTGGTATATGACTTTATATGATCCAAATAATGTTTGCATCATAGATTTTTAAAAGTTGTGCCCCCATTTCCAAGCAGATTTGTTCTATAAAGACCCTCTACTAAGTTTTTTGTTTTTCTACCCAATGTTTTTATCACAGGTGATTCCAGTAATTCGTATAATGAAAAGAGACCCTACTGCTCTATTATCGCTACTCTGATGGCTGAATTTAAATGATAAGAAAACCTACTCAGCTGCATGATAAGTTCATAGCCCAATGACAAAGCTAATTGTTAACATTATAATAGTTCTGTCAAGTACTGAAGAGGCATATTAGGGCAGATATTGAAAAAGTCAGGCTAGGATAACATGTCTGCTACTATTGAGTAAAAACGACTGCAGCCTCTTCAAACTTTACAGCCTTATGCTGAACAAGTAACAATTATTCAATTTATTAACAACATTTATTGGCCCCTAGTGCATTAAGATGTAAAAATAATACTAGTCAACATAAGTTTAAAATATGCAAAAGAAACATTAATAAAAAATCTGTTATTTACGTTTGAATAAAAACTATAAGCTATTACATACTTTGCACACCTCTGAATAATCTATGGAAAACTCATCACCAGTATTACAAAATCTAAGAGCTTCTAATAGTTGCTGACCAGCTTTTTTTGTGTTTTTTCTGCTGGAGTTTTTGGAAGGCCCTCTTTCCATCTACCTACCTACTCCTTAGCATCCCACACAATCTCACCATCAGATCCAAGTCAGGACTTTGCTGAGCAGCTTTAAAAAATGATCATTTACAGTAAAAGAAAAAAAAAAAGTATATTAAATACGTTACTTTCAGCCTAAATCTTCCAGGTTTAGGAATAATTTGGAGATTTCTTTAAAATTAGCTAATTAACAGGCTGGGACTCTGTGTCTGACCCTACATTTTCCCCTTTTCATAAATTATTGATTTCATATTGAAACCAAATCCCTTGTATTGGTGATTAATCCCAATAAAAGTTAACTTTTTCACTGTATATCAATAGGTGGGTGTTCTCAATGTTTCTAATTAAATCCTACAAAAAATATCCTCGACTTATAACTCCTAAGCATTTTCGATTCACTACTTATTTTTAGAAGAAAATCTGTGTGGTGATTTCTGTCAGTTCAGTTTTTCTTTTTTTTTTGTGTGCAATTTCTTAGTTTTACCTTTTTGTAACTGATGATGGAGAGGGCATCTTGGTCCTGGCTGCTGGACTCTTTCCCTAAATACTCCAGGGATGGTGTAGGCTTTGAAAGTTGTTCAAGTATGAGCGCCCCATCCTTCCCCAGGCCAAAAGCCTCCCAGATCTCCTGTGTGGCAGAATGGACCATTTTCTCCACCTCTGTGGCCGAGTGGGGCACAATCATGGCGGGCTGTTCAGGTAGTTTGGGAGGCAAGGGGAGGGGTAGCTCTGGTCTTGGTGGAGTTTTTACCTGCGAGTCCCCACCTAATGATGAAACCATGGCCCCCATGTGTGGGCCCAATGACCTGCCAAGTTCACCTCCGAGCTCTTCTTTCTGTTTGAGTCTCTGCTGCTGTCTGCGGGAGCTGAGACCAAAGTCCTCATCGAACCAGTCCTGATCATCCCCAATATCATCCAGCAATTCTCGGCTCAGCTCCAGTTCAGCTAAACGCTTAGCGAGCTCCTCTTGGCCACTGGGACCAAAGACTGGACTCTCCTGGTTTAAGAAATATGCACTGTTTTAGTCTCAAATTGAGGGTCATAAGGTAATTTATGACAAAATGTAACATATCAGAAGAGATCCAATCATATCCATGCATTTTACACATTTAAACTTAAAAAAATGATTGTACATTCTGCAACCAAAGATAAAAACTTTCAGTATTTACCAGCGCATCAATAGTCTGTCAACACATGGGTGGACTTTGACTGTACACATTAAAAGCCTCGCATGTCAAGTAAACAACTTCTATTAGCCAGAGCTAGATCATATCCCAGCGGTTGAGAAGCCAAGTAGCATTTCCTATAATCTACATCAACAAAGTTTGAGGTGTTTGAAATACTTTAAGAAAAATCAGAAACACTCACTGATCTGTTGCAGAGTTCAGGAGAAGACAACTCCCCCTTTTCAGCAGGTAGAAAGAACGGTAGATTATCTTTTTGCCCCACTGAAGAGATCCACTTTTCTTCATCATTTCCAACAAACAAACATCCATTTAACTGGTTGGCCTTTTTTATCTTTTCTTCTTTGGCCCTTTTTATTTCAGAGCACTGCTTAAAACAATCTTTGATCAAGTTGTTGAGAAGCTTATCAGTAAATGTGTCCAGCCGATCCCCGTCCTTCTCTCCTCTCTTATCATTCTTGATGTCTGCTGGCCGATCTGTGGGAATCAAATCCTGCTTAATGTCAGTATTATTTCTCTCAGCGATGGCTGCTTTCTTCTCATTCTCCTTAGTTCTTTCTTGATCTGGAATAAGGGATGCGTGTGATGCTTCATTTAAGTCTAAAATCACATCCTTAAGGTTCACATGACAAATCTGATGCTCAAGTTTTTTCTGATGCTGTGAATTGAGGGTCAGTTTGGAATCAAGGGGGATCTGGTCCTTCTCATCCAAATCTTTTACATCTCTAGACTTGTTGTCCTTGTTAAGTGTTTGATTGTTTTTGATTTCTGGATCTTTTGGTTTTTGAGGACTGCCTTTAACCTTTTTCTGCTGTTCCCCACCTTTATCAGACAAGTCATCAAAGAAAGAGTCCTCATCTTCTGTAGTATCTGCATAGAGCTCAAACTTGTCTGGGAGGTGTGAGACTTTGTCTGGAGGAGCAAAGATACCATGGGACTCCTCACATTCAAAGTAAACAACCCCATCATAAGTACCGTTGTTACTTCCTTCAGATTTGTCCAACTCCACACCTGCCCAGAAGCCATTGGCGAAGCTGGTTGGACCTTTAAATCTCAGGGTGCCCGGTTGAACGCCTCCAACTAGGACCCGGTCTCCAAGCTGAAAACCTGGCATTTCATCTAGAACCAAAGGAGAAGCGACCCCTTGGCTGGAAAACTCAGTTTTATTCTCACATTTTAAATCTTCTCCATTATGTTGGAAATCCACAAGTTTTTCTGAATGAAGGTCTTGCTCACCAGCACTAGCAGGCCGACTTATCTCTTCGGGTATTTCTTCTTCTACTTCATCTTGGGTGTCAAAAGTGGGGGTTGCCCTGGATGACTCTTTACTTGAATGCTTAACTTCCATTTGGGGCAAAGAGACTTGAGACTCGTGCTTAGAAATATGATCCTCTGAAGGTGAAAAATGAGCAGATTCAAAGTCCTCCTGGTAACCATCGGTGCCAAGAGACACGTCAACATCTTTACAGAGAGGCTGTTTTTTTAAAGAGCCTGCTGAGTCAGGTGAGAGAGGGGGGTCTTTGGCTGAAGAGCTGCAGCTTACATGTGATGAAGCTTCCAGATTACCGGCAGCAGAATACTGAGCACCAGGTATAAAGGTATTTGACTTCACAGCATCCTCCGCTTCAGATATTTCTCTGTCAGTCCTCTGTTCTTCCTGATCCAAGCCATCAGACCTTTCACGTTCCCCGCCTATGATAGGGGGGTCTTGTTTAGATGCAGTTATTTTCTCCTGGGAGTCAGGTTTGAGAAGGTTAGACTGTTCATCCTCAGACCTGGAGTGTACTTCCACATCTAACTGTTCCTCAATATCAGATTTGTTGTCAGACAAAACCTTCTCATCCTCAGACTCTGGCTTGGATAGAGATCTTAAAAGAGACCCTGATGAATGACCGCCAGACGGTCTGCTGTATTCAGTCACAGTGGGAGTTTTGGGGACCTTGTTGGGTAAATCTTCAGGCAATGCTTTGGAAGCTGATTGGCTATGATAAGACTGTGGAAAGGTATCTGCCAAAAACATAAAGGAGAAGAGAATTAATAAAATGTATTGTATTAATAATACATCTGAGATATATTTTGCATGTGATAAATGTGTTCACACAAATATTATATAAACCACTCACTAGGATTTTGTGAAGCATCAATAACTGTGCCTGCAGAGTCAGAGCTTTTGATGTCAGATCTGAAAAGGAGATTGTCTTAAAATGATTACAATGCTAAAAAACGTTGTACACAGAGTCCTCTTCAAAAGTATTCATATTTCATTCTAGTGTGATTTTACAAGTTAGACAGACAAAGTGGTATAAAACTGTGAATTAGAAAAAGATTTATAAAAAAAAAAGGTAATAATCACAGCCTGCTTTTACTATCAGGCTTTTAAATAAAATGTATTCTTAAAATTTTTTTTGCAAGGTCCTGTGTATTGGAGGGTTTAGCATTGTCTGAATCTCCTCTGCATACCTGTGCAGAGAAGGTTTGATAGATGACTGCTCCAAAACGTAGCTGGAATCATTTATATTTGCTGTAGTATCAGGTGTTGAGTCTGGCTCCTTATTAAGCTCTGCTTTGGTTTTCTCAATGAAATCGTTGTAGTTCTAGAAATAAAAACAAAGCGCAAACAGTGTAGGTTCAGCTATAAGGAATCTTGCAAAAGAAAGTGCAGAGATAAATGGACACATCATGACATCATCAACAATTTTGCATGGCCAAATGCACAAATGAAATACAATCATTTTTACCTCAAGTTTCTTCAATAGTTGTGCCTCCTGAGCCTTCAGCCGCTCCTTGTGTTGCTTTTTCTGCTCTTTTTTCAGCTGGTAGGCCATGATCTTACGTTTTCTCAGCTCTTCCCTTAGTGCCTTGATACGACTCTCAATGTCACTCTGGTCTGAAATGTTTTCTGCAGGAAAATTTTGGGGGAAAAAAGAATCACAGCTAGAATGTGAACACAGCTTAGTCCCATGTTTTGTAGGGGATAATCCACATTTCGCCCACAGAAACTAGAACAAGTTACTGTACATTTTCTCTCTGGTAGAGAGTAAAGCTCATTTTCATAAACACAATGAACAAAGAGCATTAAGCAAGTAGCTTAAGAGTCTATGCTTGTAGCCTGTCAGTAAATTAAACATTTTACTAACAAACAGCAAAACTTTACTTTTACATTAACCAGAATTCTGCGTTTGTCATCTCTATATGAGAGCTAAGCAGTTTAGGCATCACTTAATTTCTAAAATTTAATTCGGGCAGCACCACAGCTTACTGAACACATAGAGCCCGCAATACAGCTGCATTATGTCCATGCTGGGCTTTATCTCTTCAATATTTGTCAAACAAAAAGTCTGAATGGTTCTGAACTGCTAAAATGTGCGTTTCTAAAGATTAACTCACCAGACAGCACAGCTGTCAGGTGATCAGGAACCTGGGAGGTGGAGCGAAGTTGCATCTTGCTCTTACTGCCACAATCTGATGGAGAGGTAGCAGGGCTTTGGCTGTCTTTGATTGAAGAGGACTTTGTAGAACAGGAAGTAAAAGAAGAAATGGAAAGAGAATCATGCGTCACAGATAAACTGATCAGTGCAAAATGAGCATTAATAATGTGTTTGTGCAATCAATAAAATTTTTTTTGGATATGTTTTGAACCCTTTTAAACTAGCAAAAAACCTTTATTACCTTTAGAGCCGGTAATTGAGACTCAGCAGAAAAGTCTTGAGTGTAAGTAGCGGGGCTGCTATAAACCGGGGCTTGTGGTGTTTCACCCACTGAAGCCAGTTGCACTGAGGTTGGACTCTCTTGGTGCAGAGAAACCGGTCCCTCTGTGTGTATACTGGACTCCGTAACAATTGAGGAGCAGTTGTCTTCACTCACAAGCTCTGAAAGATAAAGTAAAAATTTAAATTTCAGTGATAAAAAATATATATATATGAAATTAACACTGATTAAATGTGTCCTAAATTGACACACTAAACTGATACAAGCTGCAGAATACATTGTTTCATAAACAAAGATAAGCATGCCCTAAATTTGATCAACTGGTTCCATCATAATTGTTTTGCCACATACAAGGAAGACTTAAACAGGTGATATCCCAAAAAGGATGCACAAATTGATACATTTAGCAGAATGCATTTTAGTTTAGTAATATTACATGAACATAACAGGTTGACTTTAAAAATACAAGAGTGAAACCCTCCAACAAGAACAAGGAATTATGAAGCTAATTTGAAACCACAACCTCACCCTTTTCACTGTCATATCTAAGTTCTAAGCTTTGTCGGTGAGAAGCCTGCGATCCAGTTTCAGAGATATCATTTCCATCGCTCTCAGACGTTTTACGGTCCTTGTCCAGAGGTCTTCTCAGGTCCCAGGCAGCCAAGGCCTCTCTCTCCATCCTTCGGACTTCAGCCTCCTCCTGATCCAGTTGCTGTTTCCACTGGAGCAGCTCCTCGGCATGGTGGCGCCTTTGCATCAGTTGCTGTTCTCGCCTCGTCAGGAACCTAGAGAAATGGACAGTTGGCAAAAGAACAATAGGATGAGAGGGAAGTGAATGAACAGAATAGAAAGAGGATTGTGATATAAAAAGAAAACGGGGAATAAAGATGGGAGTGGATTTAAAAAGGAAAGGATATAAACATGGTAAAAAAATTTATTTAAAAAACAATGAGAAGAAACAGAACAGAGATAAAGCATAAACAACATTAAAACAGGACCTTTAAGAAAAGACCAAAAACGTCCCAGTTATTACTGCAAACTCACCTCAAACCTTTGCACAACAGAGAAAAAAAATAACACACGCATTCAACACATGCTTGAAATATTACTCCAGAAAGGAATGCACATGTACCCTTTAAATAAAAAGGTGATGAAATGTTACTCAGTTTGAAATAGGAGTAAAAAGTATAGAGCTTAAATTCATACATCACACTGCTAGCTTAGGGTTGGTCATGGGGCTCAATCACACACAAACATGTGCACAGACAATAATCCATTAGGAAAGCCAGTACATGTCATTACTGATATATTACTCACTGATGGTGGTCTTTTATATAAAAAATATAAAGTAAATGTTTGTTTTAAAATAGAATCTAAAATAGATATCAGTTAATTTTTTTTCTCTAAACCATTTTATTCTCTTTAAACTCTCTATGCTAAACATATTTAAAAAAAAAAAAGAAAAAAACAAGAGAGACAGAGAGGAGTCAGGTATAGATGTGTTTGCCGTGTCATGCCTCTCAGTTGTGGGTGCTGTTACAATGCAGTTATTTAGCCGCGATCTAATTAGGAAGCTTTTCTCTTGACCTAATATATACTGATGACAACCCAGAAACTAAGCTCCATTACAGCCAAGAACCATCTGTACCTATTATCCCATAATATGCAACAGTTGGATAGCAAAGGAGCAAGATTAGATTCACTTAGCTCATTACAGGGATGGAGCACAGGACCTTAGATCTATTTGTTATAGAATGCTTAACTTCTGAGATAGTGTCTTCTTATTTCAAAATCTGTCTGTCATCGATGACTGGGCTGAATTTGAACACCCTACAGGGATGTAGTAATTAAATAGAAACTCAGCAAATTTTGTTTCTAATAATTCATATCAAGAGTGGAAGAAATCAAAGGGAAAAGAAATTAGAAAAATATTGTTTCATACTCATCAAAAATACCTAATAACACTTTAGTAAGAGGAATCCTTTCACAGCACCAATATTCAAAAGCAGAGAGTTATCTTATTCTATGTTAGTAGTTTTCTCTGGGCATTTTTGCAGCATTCATTTCAATATTTCTCCCGGAGACCATTTAATACCCCACAAAAGACAGGGGGGACAAAAACCCCAAAACACACACATCCAATCAAGCATAACCCACCAGCCCACGCTCCACAGAGTCCCAGTGTCAGTGGATGAACACAAGCCTGTTCCATGGGGTGGGGGTGGGAGAGGAAGTGAGGCCAAGCAGGGATAGGTAGAGAAAGAGAGCACTATACAGTACCTGACCAACTGGTTGTAGATAAAGAGCTGGAATTTAGGGTGGAGGTTGGGAAGACAGACACTGAGAGAGGCCCAGTGGTGGGCCGTGAACACAGAGAAGAAGCAGTGGACAGGGGAACAGTGTCTACAACACACAGGCACGGAACAGACATTTAAAAGAGCCACATCAGGGTGCAGACAAACAACAGACACGCACACAGGTTGGAAAAAGACAATGAGACAAAAGAGGGAAAGAACACGTAGAGAGAGAGGGAGAGAGCAATATGAGAAAATGTGGTTCTATTGCACAGCAGGGCTTGTGAAAAATGTTTGGGCTTTTTTAAAGCTGCATGTTGCTTAAAACTAGGGAGGGGCAATAAATATATACTTGAATATTATTGGGAGAAATATTATCATGATAAGAGTTGTAAGCTTTTGTGATAACAACACAATAACCTCTTAATGATGAAACCCGAAAAACTAAAAGTATGGTTTGAATTGGTAATTATCACCTTTTCCACAGCTCATTATATAATTAAATGCATTCATCTCTCCTTACCACCTAATCATTCCCAATCTAATAATACATTTGAGCAATTCATTGTGGAAATATCAGGTTTTGGTCATTGATAGTTAATAAGATCAGAACAATCAGTCTTTTGCAAAGATAACCACAACTACTGTAGGGGCAAAAAAAAAAAAAACCCCACAAGAACGAACAACTGGAAACCTCTCAGGATAAAAGATTCCTAAGGTGTATAATGTTCATAAAATTATATCGCTAAATGCAGGGTAATAATGGGTTCAACATATTCCTCTACACATCAGCTGTGAAGTGCAAAAATAGCACAGCGTGCTGGCCAAACAAAAAATGTTAAGCTTGTGAATAAATAAAAAATATGGATAGAAAAAAAAAATAGGCGGGGAACCTGTATAATATGCAAATTAATTATAATAGTTTGCAGAAAGGTCAATACATGAATAGGAATTAAATCAGTATCTTTACTTTTCATCCATGTGAGACTGCATTTTCTTAAGCTTCTGCATGATGCTGCTGGTCTCACTTCCAGAGATGGATAGCGAAGGTGAGGGACTGCGCATTTCATCGGGAAGCCTCGGGGAGGACAGTTCAGTGCCTGAAGGTTCTGACATTGGAATTTCCTAGAAATGTTACAAGAGACACACACAGGGAATTCCTTTATTGCTTTAGGCTCTGCTTCTATAGAAAAATAATCTGTTCTTCCTTCCTTCTGCGGAGGGTAAGTAAGCACTTACAGGGGGAGCCTCTCCCTCTGCACATTTGAGACGCTCTTTCAGTCTGAGTGTTGAGTTTCTCATCCGTTCAATCTCTTCCTGCTGTTTCAGTAGCAACTGCCTTTCTTTTCTAGCTGCTTTGTTGGCTTCCTGGAGTCTCTTGATCTCTGCCTGATAAAACAGAACATTGCCTAATGAGACAAAACACTGGATCTTGATGAAAATTATACAACCTTGCAATTAGTCAAAACAGCAATTTGTCCCAACATACCTGCTCCTGCTGGAGCTTAAGCAGAAGTCCCCTCTGCTTCTTCCTGATTGGTGGCATTTTATCATCCTCACCCTTGTCTCTCAGCTTCTTCTTCTGGTGCTCAAGCCAGGCTAGCTCTGTCCTTGTCTTTTCTTTGAGAGCTTTCTGGCGTAGATGCAACAGAGAACTCTGATGTTGTAGTCTTACCTCCTCATCCTTCATGTATTGTCGTACCATTTCCATTGTGAACTTAGAAAAACTGTCCTGCCCACTAGAGAACGCTATGTGCACATCCTTAGACTTCAGAGGAGCCGAGGGTAAAAAGAAAATGGGATAAGGTAACAAAGACAAAAAAATAAATAAAATAAAGTGATTAAAATAAAAAACAGTAAATATTTACTACCATTTTCCATAACCACAGAAGCACAAAGGTTTAGGAAGTCTGGACTGTCTCCTCACCTTAAAGGAACCACATGATCCCATATCTGGGACCAATGTTTCATCGAGACTGGCTCCAAAATCTTCTGCTTCCCTCTGATGGTGCAACTTTTTCTGCATGGTTCCTCTACGATGAGCTTCAGATGGCAGCAAAGAACGGAAAGAGCATTCCTCTATGTCATCTTCCGTCATGGACTGATCGAACTTCAGAGAATACTCAGTGGCCACAGATGTAGTTTCTCCTGATGGAACAGAGACAACATTGGTAATGCACATGCCATGTACAATTATGAGGAACAATGTGCTTCCACTGGTAATATAATAGTGGTAGGGATCCATTAGCTTCTGACTACTAAGTGGGTGCAGTGGGGTATCTGACATATAGAACCTACCAGAATTTGAAAGCTATTAAGTACCTTTCTCATCCTCTAGAGAGAGAATCCTTTCACTGTAGACTGAGTCATTTGCTGCTGCTGGAATATCCTCCTCAATAGAGCTGCAGGCTGCTTCCTCTTTTACCCTCTCCTCAGCTCTCCCATTCCTCCGTTTTCTCTCCACAGGCTCTCTTTTCACTTTTTCTCCGTGGTCAGATGAAGCACGTGATGGGCTGGTTTGGTTACTTCCACATGGAGATGCACTGAGGATTGAGAATTACGTATGAATTATCAGTGCCTTTTGTTGCGATGCGAGGCAAATGTGTATAAAGAAGCTATTGGCTACCTGACATTTGATCTTCTAAAAGATAGCGAGTCAGGCTGACTGAGGCTGTTTTGAGAAGATGAGGGCTCACCAGACCTGACCCTTCGTTTTGAAACTTCACTTTTATAACTGTAAGGGATCAACCACAAACCAAGATATATTAAACAAAATATTTAGTGCACCAAAGATATAACTATGTAATATCTAAGGTGCTTCTTTGATGGTTTTTGGAATCATGCAATTTAATCTTGACCAGATCAGAAAGCAGAGTCGTAGTTTAATACACAACTCTGTGTCAGACAGGGTGGCTCCTCGGCAATTACAAGGTGTCACTCAAGATTTGCAGGACAGATCTGGACTTTCCTAAATTGGTCGATCTCTTTCAATATGTAAATGCATCATCCTAAAGGTAAAAAAGTGAGAACCCTGCTCTAAACTTTGTGCTGATATATAGCATTGCGTGAACAACTACCATCATTTTCTCAACCCTGTCCAGCCTGACCAGCTTCTAATAACAGTTTACTCAAACTGACGAACAGTTCAACTTACATTTAACAACACAATGCAAGCAACTACCCACTGTCACTACAAACATGCTCAGTGTGAAGGCTTTGAATTTCAATGTCTTAATGGAAACAATCATCCACTGCTGGCTCATCGATTTGGACTGCATTCATTAGACTTGGAATAATTCTATATTATTCAATAGAATTGGCGCTTCCTTAAAAAAAAAGTGTCTCGGATTAAAATGTATGTAAATCCACTCAACTGAATTAAAACTTGCCTAAACATTCTGGAAATACATAAAGGCATATATTTGAATGTAATAGATGACAGAAAGTTTAAGAAATGGCCATACTTTACCTGTAAGAGTCACCCCTGCTTTCATGTGACTTGGTGTGGGAACTATTTTGTTCTTCTTGATGGTCCAATACAGCCGACTCAGTGGCAATGGCTGGAATAATCAAATGTCCTGTAATCTGGGACTGTGCAAGTTCTGCCATCTGACAAGTCACAAACATGATACAAATATTTAATGCTGATACATATATATATATATGGATCTTTGGTCTCTTCTATAAGCAATCAGCTTGACATGTAAAACTCGAAAATAATGTTTTGTTTTCAGATAAATAAGGAGGAAGTTACTGCTAACCTCCTTAATGTGTCGGGCAGCATCAGCTGTGTACCGCGCTGCTTCAGCCTGTTGGCTAACCATCTTAGAAGCTGACTCTTGGAGACCTTCCAAAGTCTGTTTTTGTGAAGCTGCCAAGTTTTCTTGCAGCTCTAAATGAGCCTAAAGGCAAATGATACATAAACATTGCACACATTTCAATGTAAAAATCTGCATCTTGAAACTGAAAATATGAAGAGCAAACAGTGATTTTTCCATCAGACACTAGAAAAGGAAAAAAGGGGGGGGACATACCCTGGCAACCCTTTGTCTGTTCTCCTCAAGCTGGAGTTTTGCCTCAAGGGCTTCTCTTTCCGTCTTGATTTTTAGCTCATAGAGTTCCTGCTCATGGCGATGCTGCTTAGCCTTAAGTTAGGAGAAGTCATTAGGGTAATTTTAAAACATGAACAATTACTGCAAAAACAAAGGAACAATTAAGGAGAACAAATTAAATATTAAAATATATTATTCTCAAGTATTATTTCTACTTTACATAATTTTGTTTCATTGTTTCATGTTAATTTACATGCAAGACTGCTCTGCATACAACAAAATGTGGTTTAACGACAACCAAGATAGTCATCACAAGTTACAAAACCACATTGCCTAGTATCAAACAGCACTAGATTAGATTATCAATTGCTGCCATCTCTGTAAAATAAAATATGACTGAGCATTACATGCAAACTAAAAACAAAAATTTTTAAAAGTTATGATAAAAAGTAAATAAATAGTAGTTTTGTGGTCAAACTTACTAAAATCTAAGTAGTGTTTGACCATTTAAACAACATTTTCAGTAGATATAAAATTTAGGTACTTATGTTTTTTAGTTGTGTCCATCATGCCCAACTGTCCCAAGCTGATTTATAAATACAACAACCTGGTAATATTCGAACATAACTAAAGCCCAGATGTTGGTAAAATGCTTAAAATACCACACTGGTATGTGTGGAACACTACTTGTATCCAAATATAAATGGCACAGACAATCCCATCATTGTTACTTCTCTAAATTCAAAATATTTTTCATTACCTTAAGCATTTGAGCCAGTGATGCACTCTCCTGTTGGGCCATAGACACACCCATAAGCCTCTCTGCATCTCCCAGCTGTTTAATTGACTCTTCGATGGACTCCAAGTAGTGCATTTCTGCTGCCATGCGCTGTCTCAAGACAGCCGGTGAATACTGCAACTCACCTGGAAGAAAGAAATCAATACAAGGTGAGAAAATATCTGTAACGTTTTAACTTTAATTTGGCCAGACATAAAAATCAATACATCAGTGTGGTATTAATTTACCTGTGGACCTCAGTTCTGCTCTGCTGGATGCTTTCAGATTATTAGAGCTCCTTCTTACATGCTCACTGGGAGAGTCTGCAGTTAGAGAAGAACTGAGGTCTGGAGAGCAGGATGATGAAACCAGTTTGGGTCTGCAAAAACAGCAATCAAAGATCTGTTACTAACCTGATGGAAGCGATATCAATATCTAATCAGGTTTCTGATGGTGATCAAGTAAGCCTATTTTTAATAATCCATTTAAATCCTCTAAGAATTGATTCAAAACAGCATAAAAAAGTCCACATTTGACAAGACTACGTCTTATTTAAAACATAGATAAATGTTGCTATATGGCACTATTTTAATACATTTCTTTTAACTATGGGTTTAGATTTGGTCAAACCACTCCTGCATTCTTTTTAGGTTTGACAACCTGTCTTTGCAATCATAATCTCTTTGTTTACATTAAACTTTATAACGAAGTTAGACATCAGCTCTGTAGTGAATCGAATTTTTAATTCAAAAATCACTTACTCTATACAACACTGAAGGTGTATGGAATAGTTTTCCCTTCCCATATATTTCCAAATTGCTTTTGTCTTCATTTTTTTTTCTTGTATCTTTACTGATTTAGTTGGGGTTTTTTTCCCTCTCAGGTGCCCAAATCATGTAAGGAGACAACCAATGGCGATTTCTAAATGGATTTATCTATTCTTTTCAAAGCAAAGAGAACAAGAGTAATTGACACATGTAAGTTTTGGCCATAGGAGCAGTTTTTAGGAGAGAAGGTTTTTTGTCTGTGTGGGTGTACTAAAAACATTTAAAGGGCCTCTTCATCTAATTAAAAGACTTGCATTTCATTTAGAAAGAGCATACCTCAAAAAGTAAATGCATCTTAGTAAAAAAAAAAAACTGTCAATAAAGAAAAGATAAACAGTGGTTTATAATTTCTGCAGTGATAAAGAAAAAATATAACACAAGCAAATAGAGTTAGAAAACTTATGATTCAGAGGCCATTCTAACGGTCAAGAGTTTTAGCAGAATGTAAAGCCTTCCCTGCACAGGACACACTGATGCCACAAAATTCGAAGAATCTGACACATGGGTTTCAAAGTACCAGCGTGAGCTCAAATGTCTCTACTTCATGAAGAGAGATTAAGAGGGAAAAAAACAACAACTACTCCTCCTTGGCAGACTGCCAACATTTTGGAAGGCTGCCTGATCTGCAAAACAGAGTAACCAGTGTTTTCTACACTTAGGTCGTACTGCTGCTTGCTTGTGTTGCTTGGCACTTGGTGCTAAAACAAACAGGGCTACACCAGTACACTAACACTTCCATGTTTAAGTGCATTTAGTGTTTTAGCCATGCCTTGCTTAATTTCACTTTGGTGGCATATATATATATATTTTTTTTTTGTTACCAGGAAGAGATTGTTTATTGCCTGGAGTGACATTAAAACAGTCTACTCTTAGTGCAAAGGAAAGTCTGGTTTAATTTAGGGAAGCAGTAGAGTAAGTCATAACTGTTCTTATTAGCTTGATCTTCATAGGAAGGTTACATTTCTTCCGAAAACAACAAAGCCAGGATCCTGGGTGACCAGGAGTTACTGGTTAAAACAGACAAATATTTGTTGTACTTTAGCTCAGATAGAGTCAGCTCTTTCCCAACAAGGCTTTCCTGATGTATATTTGATTTAAGGGACATTATTACATCCCAAGTGTTTCTTAAAAATGTATATCTATAGCTACAGATCTGGATTGAGTTCTTTGATTCAGCCCCTCAACCATAGTTTTCTGGGATATACACACAGAGATACAACCTAAATACTAATGCAGTTGCCTTAAATTGGACTCTATCCTATTTAGCACAAGAGATCAATACACAGCCTTGGTTGTTAGATTACACTGTCAAAACACATCTGGTCATTTTTAGATTCCCCTTCAAATATATAGATTTGGATTGGAAAAGACATCATAAAACTTAATAAAGAATTTTTTTATTGCTCCTAAGAGTAAAGCAAAAGTGCATTTAAAACGATTTTGCTGTATGCAGCAGTTTAGTCGAGTAACTTGAAATATTTCTGTATTTTTACTACAACATTTTTGTAGTAGTCACTTATGTTGATTTGACTGGGACTGTGCCACACTTCTCACTTCTTTCCCAGTGTTCAACAAATAAAAACAATTTTTGCTGCATCTGCACCAACATTAATATATTGAATATTCAACAGGTGATGTTCTTAAACGTAAAGAAAGCAGAGCGACAGTCACTGTCTTACACAGAGCTGCGCAAACTGTCAATCAAAATAAAAAAAAATCCCTCCCATGTCATGCTCAACTTACTACGGGTAAGTTGTTGAAATTATGGATTGGTTGTGTATGTCTGTTCCTGCTCCACTTTCTATACATGCTCTGAACGACTTGCTTTCTTAATAGTCTACATGAGTTGCTTACCTTCTGGGGGAATGGGCTGAACGTCCTCCTAATGTGTCAGAATCTAAACTTTTGTCCTGGTCTTGGTTCAAACTTTTGTCTGAGGCTTTCCTTCTGTGGTCAGAGGAATTTGCTTCTGAAAGCGGTGAACCCTTCAGTTCTTCTACAAGAGTTGCATCACTCTGGTCTGAAATGGTAACTGTAAACACAGACAATATAATTTTGTACCATAGAAACGATACCAACAAACACTTGCAAAGTGTAAAATGGCTAAACACAACAATGTTTCATTTTCTAGTAATCTATAGCTCTGCTAAAACTATTAAATCAAAATCCTGATTGGATTTCTATGGGCTCTCCTCACTTCCACACCCCTTTGTGTTTTAAAGTAACTTTTCAGACCCCATTATTGGGAGCCCTTTAGAAGGACCAAACTTAAAAACTAGAGCAAAGGCTAACAGAAAAGGCTTAGCTTGTTTGCAGAAAAAGAATTATTAAACCCACTTGTTTACATAACAACCCAATGAGTTCCAATTTAGTGTCAAAACAGGGAAGCCAAAAACTAATCATACCTCTTTTACTTGTGGAGTGCCTGGAAAGTGGTGAGGATCCAGGTGTTGAACCAGGGGACATACTCTGGGAGTGACTGGATAATTAAAAAGATTAATGTCAGCAATAAATCACTCTTGTATTACCTGATCTACTTTTTAAAGTGGTTATTATAAATCCGGACATGCAGAACATGGACAGGTAGGTCATTCACGATATTATAAAACAGTGTACCATAAAAATAATTTTGATACATACATGTACACCAAAAAAACAAACAAAAAAAGAAACTGTATGCCTAGTAATTAAAGATGGTAGTCTTTAGTTAGTCTTTAAAATAGGGGAACATTCATATGTGCAGTTTTAGGTTTTTAAGACTGTGTGACATGAATGCCACCCAGTGGTCATGCTAAGGATGACTGTTTTTGTTACCTTGTAGAGTTGGATCCCCTTTTTAACTGGCTGCTTGCTTTGCTGCTATGTGATGAAACAAAGTCATCCAAATAGACTTCTGCATCTCCTTGGTCGTCTCCGTGTGGAGATTTCTCTGAATCTCTTTCATTCACTGAAAGGTAAAATGGAAAACATAGAAAATAAACCAGTGTTATGTTATTCATTGATAAAACTAAAAAAAAAAAAAGGTAGGGATTTTTAAACTTACCTTTAACATGGCCTTGGACATTTTTGGTGAAAATATTAATTACACTCAGAGGGCTTCCTTTGTTCAACTCTTCCCATGGTGCTTTGCTACCATTTAGCTGTGAAAACGGTGGGCTGAGGGCTGCACACTTTGCCGCATCCCTCTGGAACTCCAACAGCCGGTTGTGATTACTGCTTTTACCTGCTCTGTTGTCCGCTGCCTCCAAGTAGTCTGCATTACGCCCACGGTTACTATAGTACTGGGGTGGACTTGAGTCTCCCTCAGAAAAACTTCCCTCGCTCAGTAGAGGTCCCTCACTAATGGAACCAGAACTTAAATCATGGAGATCAGACTGATATGGAAACACAGCATTCTCCTCTCTCTTATTTTTTATTCTATCTTCTAGATTTTCTTTCTCTTTCAAGCCTAAGTCAACTACAATCCTCCTCCTCCTCCTTTCTTGAGAGTAACTGTTTAAAGATGTCCCATTTACACCTGGAGAAACCGTATGTGGATTTGTTAGACTGGTGTACGTCTTTTCCACCAAGTCATGCAGGTTCTCTGCTCCTGAAAGAGCTGTGTCTGTGTATGTTGTATAACCTGCACTTGTGGCAGCTTTGTGTACCCTAAAGGACTTGTCGCTATTCTCTGTAGCATAAGCAGGGATTTCTGTCCAGTACTCAAAATCAACATTAGAATTTCTGGGAGGTAAAACAGTATCAACATCCATTGAAGTTGGGGCGCCATAGTTGATCTCTTGTCCTGCAAACCTTCGGGCCTCTGTTTCGATGCGGTTTGATAAGGATGTAGCTTTCGCCTTTAGGGCTTCAATCCGAGACATCCTGGTGTGGGACTGAGGTGCAACAGCTGGCCGTTCACTGTACTTGCTACTAGCAGCCATTGCTGCATCCAGCCTTAAAATCTGAGAGAGAAGATGTTCATTGGAAGAAACTTGTACACTGCTGGTGGCAACATTTGTGGGTTGATAAACTGGATTCAGATGGTCAGGCTGAAGTGAAAAGGAATCTTCAAGATCGTTCCTGCAAGAAATAACAACAAACAGATTACTTGTAATCAGAAAAAAAAAATAATAAATCCATTATATGAACAGCTTTTGATCATTTTCTACCGAATGAAAACACAAAGTACAACATTTCACACTTAGGAACATCAGTTCGAATGCATAAAATACATAAAACCAAAATATCAACGGAAAGTTAAAATATCTGGAAGAGAATAAAAATATATCAGCTTTTCTTTCTTCAGGAAATCTTTCTTTACAATCATCCAATGAATGTTGTCCTTTGGTAAAATTTAAAAAGAATAATAATTGCTTCTCTATAAAAAGACAAAAAAAACATATTTGTGTTGTTTTATACACTAGGTATAGGATACTATACGTGTCGGATTTTATTTTTTTCTTTGCTAAAAAAGTTCTAGGTTCGGAATATAACGCAGATTCTCATTCACAGGAAAGGATGTATACATTACAGCTTCAAGTTAATGGTTTGTCTTGTATAATTAGTATCAAAAGAAACTATAATAGCCACTTCTGACTTTGGGGAGTGTAAATTGTTGCTAATCTTTTGTCTTGTTGCACCGATACCAGTATCGGGCAGGGCTCCGATCCTGCACTAAAATGGTGGTATTGGTATCGGCGAGTACCGACAAAATAGGGTGTTGATACCATTTTGAGAGCCAAAAGTTTATAAAACTATCGTCACCCATTCCAGGTAGGCAATAAAAAGTTCTACTAGATTCACTTTGTATTAGTCTTTTTCCTGCTTCATAAAGGTAGGCAGCAGCTTGACAAGCCACTATTTTACATCCAAGTAGTATGCAGTTCTTCATATACACATACAAACACAATTTCAAACAGATGGTATCAGCCGATACTGCACAGCCAGGTATCAGTGCCAAAAAAAAAAAAAATGGCATTGGAGCAAAACTCCAGATAAGTATATTTTTAAATCATGTACCTGGATAATGGTGGAGGTGGCAGCTCATTTAAAGACTTGTCACTGCTTGAGGGGCTCTGTGACACCTCTAGTCTTTTGTTTTCCTTGTCAGACTCTCCTGAAGGCTGGTATAGGGGTCTCTGTAAAGCATTCATCATTAATTCAATTAATAAAACCACTACAGTCAGACTTTCAGAAATACATGTAAAAAGCACAAAGCATATTTTAAACATAAGACAAGTCTTGTTATTGGTACGAGTATTACCATCTGAATAATAGGTGCAGAAAGGTGCGCAGGTTGTTCCTCGCCGAGCCGGGCATCCTCCAGCAGTAGTTTGGTGTAGGTCTCCTGCAGGCGTTTTTGAACGGGGGCCACAGCTGCCTCAGTGGAAAGGGTCACAGTTTTTGCTACTTCTCTTTGCTTCTTGTACAGCTCTGCAAGTCTCTGATTTCTTCTCTCAGCCTCCTCCTTTGCTGCCCTCTTCTCTTCTACCTGTCGCCTTTTTCTCTCCTCTTGTTGTTGTGCAATATACTGGCGGACTGTGTCTGCATCATAGTGCCTCTTCTTTTGACCTTTGCTTGCTTTGTTAGCATCATCATGTTGCCGTTTAGTGGGACTGGCACTACGGCAACCTCTGGAGCTGGAAGTTGGAACTGTAGTTCCCCAAGCAGAGACAGGAGCCCTTGTCCGTGAACCTGACCCTCCCCGGCCTCTTCTACTACCACTGCCACCTCGAGATCTTTTACGGGCTCGCTCTTCCATTTCAGCTGGTTTGCAATCCAGCTGAAGGTCATCAAGAATCCCCTGTATATCTACTGCCAAAACATCTGTATTCACTCCCTGTGGCATCCTGTCCTTGGCTGAAGACGAGTGATTGTATGAGGTTGTAGGGCGGCTGGACGGTTTCTCCTGGAAACCACTGCGAGGCCTCTCTGTGCCATCTTGATGAGGGTGTCTGGAAGCTGGTAAAAAATTAAAGAAGAAAAAAAAAAAGATTTAGAATACAGCAATTATGTCCAGATTATTAAACATACACAGGAAAAAACTAACTGAATGCTGCTTTACTCCATGTAGTTCTGGACTGGATTTCAAATACTGGTTAGAAAGAGGGGAAAATTAAAATGAATGTTTACAAACTAAAAGTTATAAATCTTAACATACAATTTGATGAACTGTTCAGGTCTTCTATAATCGAGGTTTCTATCCATTAGAGTTCAGCTCTGTCTTGTTTTGTGGTCATTTTGGTTTTGTTTTGTGGTTGTTCATTTTTTGATAGTTAGCAGTTATTACCCATGGTAATATTTGGTCCCTATCTTTTTGCCATACCGATTAACTTAAATTTAAAGTAAAAATAGTGTAATATAATAAAACACAAAATCCAATTTTGACAATTATCGCATCTTGAAATGTCCTGTCCTGAAATACTCAACAAGTGAATAAAGCCAAAAATAAAACATCTGGAATGCAGTATAGATCCAGAAAGGATCACCATAATGCATGAGGCTTGGTCGAAAGGTTAATCACAGTGACTTTAATCTAGGTCAAAGTGAACATTACTATGTACCATCTAATCCGGATCGATTTTTTTAGAGCATGTCTGAAGAGCTTCACTGAACTTCACTGACATTACACACAGTAGAGGATGCATGCACTTGGGCAACCAATGAAAATCAATCCATATAATATTGTGCATTCAACTTGACCAAACAGTCAATCTTTATTTGTTCTGGTCAGTGACATTTAGAGCATATATTCAAGCAAAAATCAAAGCATGGGCTTTGAATGCGAGTATATCTGAGTGGGATTAAATCACTCTCAGAAAGCTGAAACAGCTCGATTCTGTCAGCAATGGTGATTGAGAGGCAAAAGCAAAAAAGAGAATGAAGTATTCCCCCAAAACCAGGTTACATCTTCTTTTATAGTAGGCCTTATTTTTCTTGTACATTCTATTGTTAACAGTGCAAAGGTTTACCAGGAAACCCTTTCATGGAAAAAGCTCTGCTTTCATTCTGAGAACAGAGGAAGAAAACTGACAGGGCCAAAATACAACATATTTATGACACAAGTACTTTTGCCTATTGACTGCCAAGTATCTGCCACTGTGCAGTTCTTTAATCAGTTCAGCCAATTTGACTTCTGACAAGACCAAACTGAATAAATGAGATTTTTACTGGTATCTAGATGCAGTCTGGACTAAAATGACTTTAAAAACAAATAAAGCAAGCAAGCAAGCTGATTTAGAAGAGTTGCTTAAATTAATGCCATCATTATTGTAAAACCTACAGTTGTTAAATCTGGTTTTGAAGGCCTATTTGAATTGTTGAAACCATCTATACAGTCTTTGATGTTTTCCTGTAACCACTTCAGACAGTATCTAATGAAAGAACACCATGTGCTGGCATGTATAGAGGGGTGAGTTCATGTTCCTGAGCCCCACCTGCTTGGGTCTGTTTTCCAGCTGGATGGGAAGTTGGTTCTTCTCTGGGTAGTTTTGGAGGGGGACCCAGTACCATCTTTACTAGCTTTTGTCCCTCACGCCATGATGCAGGACTTATCACTGGAAAAGCAACATACTTAGTTTAGAAAGTGCTATATAAAACAGCATTACATTAAAGCAGAATGACATAGCAGGTGAAGAGAAATTTAAGTTTAATAAACTTAACTAGGAACTATAGATTCTATGAATACCAAGTACACTCCAACAATAACTATAACAAACAAAGAAGTTTCTTCTGAAGGAATTTCTGAAAAAATTCTCATTTTCAGTTTATCTGATTACCTTGTACCATTTACACAATCAACAGCCCATTGCCGTGTTGTTTTTCCTGCTCTGGCAGATATCTCAGTGCAGTGCAATGTCTTATACAGAAAATATTTAGAGCAGTTCCAAGTAATCAGGTTGTACATCAAATAACCAAGCACCTGTTTTAGCTAAATAGATGAGCCAGCTGAACCTGGCCACAGACTGCAGAGGCCTATTTATAGCACTGTCCTAACACGAAACACAGACTGGTCACACTTGAGGGACTACATCCACGTTTTACTGTCATAGGTTAAATTTCTTCACCGGATAATTTAATAGTACCCTATATTTATATAATCGTAAAGATATTTATAATTCTATTGAATAACCTTTATGCAACTACGCTTTAAATTGGACGTGGTTATTATTGTTTTGTAGCTACCTTACATGACATGTTTTGAATAGCTGCTAAACAAATAGTGGAACTAAGTTGAATAGATGTTTGACGAAACACAAGGCACCACAAAACATGACAGGAACACTGGAAGAAATCTTTTACATTTTTCTTTCGCATGTTTTGATAAACTTGGCAGTAAGTTATTTACCCAAACCACCTGGTCTGACAACGTTAGAAAATCCCAGTTCTTCCTCCTTAGTAGCCTTTATACCAGCAGCTTTTCACTTCAACTGATATGTTCTGGTACAACGAAAGCAATGTCTTTTTGAACCATAACTTTTTAATCTCAGACTTGACAGTAAACACTATATAAAGGAGCCAGAATATTAGATTTAAACTATTTTCAACTAAAGCAAGTCAGAGTGGAGTTCCTGCCTCAAGTGGGGAAGTTACTGTATATCTTGGTTTTCTTTACAAATGAGCGGTATTTAAAGCGGGAGATCGAAAGATGGATCAATGTGGTCGCTGCTGTAGATGCTGCACTGGTCAGTTGTGTTGAAAAAGGGAGCTGAGCTAAAAGGCAAAGCTTTGAAAACCCAGTTGTTTTACATTCCTACCCTCAGCTAAGGTCATGACCAAAAGAGCAAGATCTCTGATATTAGCATCTAAAAAGGGCTCCCTCCTCAGTGCAGCAGGGCACACCCTTAGGTTATATTCACAAGGCAGGTCTTGATAATCAGTTCAAATGTTTTTGGCTGAAATACTTTTTTCTTTCTTCACACCATTGCATTTAATTAACCACTAATTAAATGAGATCGCCATCAGACTTAGGTCTGAGCGGTTCAGGACACCAGGGTGACCCACAAGCACAGGGGTAGCTGTCACACAGCAGCACACTGCTTACAGAAGTAATCCTTTTTAGGAATATCATCCAAAGTGTTGAATAAAGCTTCATATATATAAAAAAAAAAAAAGACAAAGAAAAAAAGAAGGAATATTGGAGGGCCCCCTTCCAGGCTTAGCGTTGACTGTTTAAACATTTTAAATGATTAAAGTGTATACATTTCTTTATACGCTGGTAATAGTGATCAAGAATACAAGTGATTTGAAAAATACATGTGTTCAAAACTACTTAATAAGTCAGATGTATTATTACATATACGATACTAACCCAAAACTCAGAAAACAAACAAACAAAAAAATTTTTGCTTGCTGGACATTTCTCCAGAAATAAAAACTATAACGACAGTTTAATAAAAGTTGTTAAAGGGAAAGATCTGACAAACAAAAAACATACAAGAAAAACAAACAGACATCAATTTTAAAAAGGCTGAATAAATAAATAAGACATTGTTAAAGTTAAATCACACTTCCTCACTATAAATATAGCAATGATGAAGATTATATTGTTGTTTTATGGAAAGCACAAGATGAGTATGGCAAATAATCACATGGGGCTACATAAAATGTTTTCCTCCACCCACCCAATCATTCATTCATTTTCAAAGTGTCCTCTTATGGCCAGGATATAGTAGTATGTAGCTAAAACCTGTTTTTGTCTGTGTGCTTTTTGTTGGTTGTAGAGCAACATGGAGGAAAAAAAATCTATGGGGATTAATGTTATAACTGGATCAGTGGAGCAGCATCCGCTGTTATAATGATGCAGTGATTGGAAAACTGTGCATGCAAGACACATCTAGGTCAGCAGCTTAGACCTCAGACACATCAACATAATCTCTGAATCCATTCAATGTGTCCAAAAACTTTTCATACTTATGCACTTCAGTGGGGACTAAGAGGGAGTAAACGCTAAATAGAAAAGAGGAACAGCTTTTACCCTGACATAACTAAGATGGTTAACTAAAACACATTACTCACACCCTGACATATACACTCAAATAGCTTTAGGGAAGCGGATACACAAGAATACATTTACAATTCAAAGCTCCACTAAACATGTATATTCAGTCATAACCATTAATGTTTTTCGTTTAGGTTTTTGAATTTTATAACATGAATGCATCCATTTCCTAATTGTTCATACTCTCCCTAATGTTACTTCTAAAGCATGCAAAGCCTTTCTGTGTTCAATGCAAACAGGCCTTTCAATGTTTTTAAATGTATATGAAAGGACTTCCTTTGAGGGTTATTCATTTTTTATAAGATCAATAACGCACTACAATATTGAATATTAAGTTGACTGATATACAATGAAGACAACTCTACCTGGTTTGGAATTCTGCTCAGATACAGGGGGAACTTTGTGGACCTTCCGGACTGGTTTCGATGGCCTCTCCTTGGATCTTTCTGCTCTCTGTTCCCTGTGTTGTTGATGCCTGGATTTTATGCCCTCTACACACAGGGAGGAAATGAAAATGCCCACAGATTAAATACAACAGAGGTTCTTATTTTACAAACCACTGCTTAGGCACAAAATTACCACAGGACTTGCAGATAGGCATTGATTGGTTACTGGTCTTAGGCTGTCTAAATGTAACAGGTTAAAAAACATGACTATTTTCTATCACAATGTTCCCATGATTTAAAGTTTCTTTAGTGAGCTATAAGTGAAACTGTTGGAGTGCCAGAGCTTTTCTTGTCTGTAAAGAACACATAATAACACTGCAATGTCCCTCCCTCACCTGTGAAAGAAAGTCATTTTCATTTAAGATCCAGACTCTCTAACCAACCCACACTAGGGCTGCAACAACGAATCGATAAAATCGATAAAAATCGACTTTTAAAAGCGTTGGCAACGAATTTAATCATCGATTAGTTGTGTCGCGCGATTAATGCGTCATCCGCCGCCGCCGTCATCCCGGGGAAGAAAAAAAAATATGGCGGAGCGAGTCAGCGCCGCAGTTGTGTTGCCAACTCAGCGACTTTTTAGACCCCTCCAGCGACTATTTTTTAAAAAAGCGACTAGCGACAAATCTGGCGACTTTTTACGGTGTCACTGGCGGCTTTTGGAGACTCTTACGTGAAAGCATGTATCGTTCCTGCTCTTGTCCTCCAGCGGCAGCTGCTGCTGTGGGGCGCCTCCCCCATCCCAACCCCGTTCTCCCTCTCCCACAGGAATCCCTCTCAGTGCTGCAGTCCGAGCCGCGGGATTTTAGTGAGGAGTTTACCCTCAGCGTCCAGACTGCAAATGAAGCGCGCATGCCCCGGGATTGACGGCGCAAATTGATCACAATAATTAAAATAGCCTGCGCTTTGTAAAGTGAAAAAAGTCGTAACATGCAACTTTTGTAAAAAACAAATGAGCATGGCACGGAAGCACCACTGTTATGACGCAGCACCTGAAAAGAAAACACGTTGGAGCCTTCAATGGCAGTGAAGATAGCTGATCAGCAGGATGAGTAACCATGTTTGTTTGGTTTTAAAGTGGGGAAACGTAAGTTAGTTTCTCAGGTAGCTCATCTGATGCTTTCCTTAGCTTGTTAGTAGGTTACAGACAGTGATAAGGTTGGCTTCTTATTTTACTTTTAATTTCATTTGAATTAGCTTAAGCAGCGTTTATATTTTCTTTATAAATAAATTAATTTGCAAATTATGAGGGCAAGGCTTTTAAAGTTTAAATCTTCTGGCAAAGAAAGTAAAGAAGATCCTGCAATTTATGGAAGTAAAGCAGAATAAAATCCAGCAAGATCAGTAATATGTCAAATAATTATCTGCCACATTCCCATGTAAATATCTGTCTTTGGAGGATTTGTTTTTTAGCACCCCTAGTTCTCTCATTTTTATTCCAAATACAATTTATAATTTGAATCACAGGGCTATTTTTATTTCTATGGTTCAGTATTTTCTCAAGTAGCATCTTTAACTGCTATACTTTCCTGTCTTAAAAGGCAGAACTCTTCTAGTCTAAAAAAACCTCATTTGTTGAAATGGGGGGGCCTATTGTTTGAACCCCTTAGGGGCTTTAAAAAACAAAAATGCCTGTCTCTTTTTGCGCTTTATGAAACAAAGTACCCTATATTTTGTGGATGTACAGCTACATTTCTCATGTAAGTTTGCATAGTTTTAACACAAACATTTATTTTTCATATTGCACCACTTGTGTGCTTGTTTGTTCTGTCTAAAATGTTTATTTTGGAATAAAGAGGTTAATATAAAAAAAATATTTTGTGTCCGATTCATCGATTAATCGAAAAAATAATCGTCCGATTCATCGATTTTCAAAATAATCGTTAGTTGCAGCCCTAACCCACACCCATTCAAAGGCCTTTGAAAACTATTTTCAAACAATCCAGCTAGTGGTGTTTCACCGTTAAGAACATAATCTGCAATCATTACTTTAAGAATTCTATGCATTTACAGATTAAAACAGCAGAATTTTAATCAAACCATACAAAGTTGTCAACTTTTCCAATACCGTACTCCACGGATACCTTTACATAACTATTTACATACAATAAAACTACAAAAGGAAGGTTTTGTGAGTCTGGACTTTTGACAAGAAAAGTAAAATATAGTTGAGTAAAACAGAGTAGCCTTGTGTATATACTTACCGGAAAATTGCCGTGATATGTCTCCATAGATTTCTTTGCTGAGGCTTTGGAACTCCTCCTCTTTCCAGACTTTCCCATCAGGAGTCTGGATCTTTGTCTCTGTGCTGTTGAAACCTGCAAATAAAAACAGAAACTCACATATTGTAGCACCTTACTTTGTACTGCAAAGTCTAAGGTTCCAAACCAGAAACAATAAATACAAACATGATCCTAACAGAGGCAATAAAACACATGCTAATAGCAATAAGACTTATTAAAGTACCTTTGTAAATAGGCGCTGGTGGTGCTGATGTTACTTTGCGTATCTTGGCTGCTGGCATGCTGCTTGAGCCAACACTGTCACCCTCAGCAAATGCAACAACTGGCTTCTTAAGATGACCCTTAAGCGCCTCTCCTTGTGCTGTCTCCTCCAAATGTTGTCTCTGTCTTCGAATGCGCTCTTTTAATTTCTCAAGTTTGTCATCCGGCTGATGTCGCCTCAGGTTTTCCAACCGCTGGGACACTGAACCAGGGCTTGTGGAAGGAGAGCTTTCCCCTTGGCGAGAAGAGCCAGGGGTCCGAACCAAGCATGGGTTTGATTCGTGATTATCCATCACAAGTTGTGCTTTGTGAGAGCTCTGCTCTGTCTTCAGGCTATCCACGACCGGCTGATCGTTGATGTATCGCACCTCAGCACTCTCCACTGCAGAGGAGTGTGTGCTTTCTAAGTCCCTGTCAGTCTGTTTGTCCCTGGTTACTTTCTGGTAGATCAGCTGGCTGGGCAGGGGATCCGTGTAAGGCGGAGAGGATGTGTATGAAGACTCTGGCGCTGGCTGCAGATTGTAGGCCTCCGACTGAGAAAAGGGATGTGAAGGAGGTGTGGCCTCTCTGGACATACAACAGATTACATGGGATCAAGACAAGAAGTGAGATTAACTTTTATTTACTGCCAAGTGAATTTACAAATAAAACAGGTTTTGACTAGAGTATGTAGTAAATAATCCCTGTATTTAAAACGTTCAGAAACAAAAGTGTAAAAAAAAAAAAGTGATTTTAGAAAATACATTGCAAAATACAAAGTCCTGGAAGGAAAGAACATTGAATATTAGGGTCTTAAATTACCCTAGAGTAAAAAAGAAAGAATTGTTATCACATAATCTCTCTTAATATATGAAAAATGAAATCTAATTTGAGCACGCTGCAAAATCATTGTATATATGTTATATGTATAGATGTTATTTAATTTGAAATGCTCTTAGATGTTGTTTGCTAGTTTAGAAAAAATGTTACATTGTTTATGTATATGGTAAATGGCATGTACTTATATAGGGCCTTTATTCAAGTCAGGAGACTTGACCAAAGCGCTTTACACTACATTCATTCACCCATTCACACACACACACTCACACACTGATGGTGGCAAGCTACATTGTAGCCACAGCTGCCCTGGGGCTCACTGACAGAAGCGGGGGTGCCGTACACTGGCGCCACTGGGCCCTCTGACCACCATCAGTAGACAATGCAGGTGAAGTGTCTTGCCCAAGGACACAACGACACTGAAAGTCGGAGTCGGGGCTTGAACCGTCAATCCTTCGATTTCAGGGCAAACTCCTACATCCAACGCCACTGTCGCCCCAGATGGCTGTTTAATATGCACAACACAGTGTAAGAGTTGCTTTCAAACTCATTGTGTATTTAAGAGATGCATTCCCAGATAAAAAGCTGCGGTTTGGTTCATCAGTTATTCCAATTTTTAAAGCTAATGGGGAAACCAAGTTTCTGTACAGCAGAGTTCAATGATAGCAGAAAGTCTGAGTACTTTGCTATGCTAAGCTTCTGCAGCAGAAAGTACAGTTATTCACTTGAGCTATAGAAACCTAAATATTATGTGGGTGTAAAGGCTTAACACTGCACTAATCTTTTGGTATAGACCCATGCTGAACCTACCAAACTGAAATAAACATTTTTGGCATTAATACATGTATTCACTGCAGCCCTTTTTCTAACAACATTGGTGTTACAGTGGTCAATGTTAAACTGGAGCGAACCAATAAAGGGTTTAAGATCTGCCACCATTAAGCTCAAATACAGCCAGGTAATGTGACCAACCATCATCAACAGATTCCGGTACCTGTATGAGGCCAGAGGCTCTTTGAACTCCACACTGCTGCTTTTTCGTACATTGCTGTCCTGTGTGGCATTCCTCAAAGGGCTGCGTGAGTTACTTTTAGCTGGGTTCTGATGATTTTCACCTCTTGGCTTTGTATTCCTTCTTGAAACATCAGCTTGCCTTCCATCTAGGAACAAAAAAACAAAAGAGGTCAGAGCTTCCTTGATGGTCTTTCACAACAGAGCAAGTAATCATGGCTCTCTAAAGACCATGTGTCAGATAGACATGGGCCGCTTTTAAGGTTTACCCCAGAATTGAAAAGTCACAGTTTCAAACCCGGTGCATGTTTCCATTATAACATTCCTTCACTATAAGCATTTTATTTATTCATTTACAAATCGAAGAGAAATCAGAGACAGTTCAGGTTGTGAACGGCTGCAGCATCACCACCCCTCCACCCACTAACTCCTTTGTAGCTGCTCGCTCTACAGTTTGAATTATGACTGAAGGCTTCAAACTTTTCTCCCTGCTTCTGCCCTTTCAGACAGCTCGGATGCATGCAGCGCTTGGCACTTAAACATATTAAAGTCAGCTATAAGAAAATACCGTGGCTACCCGAGCAGATGGAAAGCAACAACCTGAAGGAAGAAGATTGCTCTAAATGTCAATAAACAGAGGAAGAATACAGCTATTATAATAGCATATCAGTGGCCACATCAACCAGCACTATTTGCTAAAATAAAGGTCAAGTTTGAGCCATGTTGAAATTAACAAGCAACCTTCAGTGTTATTCATTTAATAAAAAAAAAATTAACAACCTATTGATATAATATATATGAGCTGTTATCATAATAATGTGATATTCTTGCTAAAGGTAACATACCGTCAAAATTTCATACTGGTCCATGCCTATTGTAAGGATGCAAGTTTTATACATTGCAGTAACTCACCCCTGGTGTGAGATGTTCCTGATGTTTTCTTCTTGGGGGAGAAGGTATCGAGTAGAACACCAGTTCCAGGAGTGGCTTCCAACCGGTTTTCTATGTGCCGAAGCTACAAAAGAGGAACATACATTTCAAATTCTCAAGAATGCAAGAAGGTAAGCAAAAACAAGGTAACTGAGGAGAAACCATTTCTATGTGTACTTACAGCAGCTTTGGACTGAGCTAAACTTTTCCATGCATTTGTAAGCTCTGAAAAACAGAATAACAGAGAATTCACACACACAGAAGAAATATCAGTAACCCAGTTTCTATCTAGCCTACTAGTGTAAATTACATTTAAGGTTCCTTAACATACCTGTACCAATATTGTGATTTGGAAAGGGTTGAGCAGATGTTTTGAGGGGTACTTCAGTGGTTCTGCTGCTTCTCATCTCTCCCACTCACCTGTAGCCAATATGGAAAAAAAAATTCTAAGCAAAATAGCTTGTGGGAATAAAAGTAATCAATGAATAACTTATGCAATAAAAACAAAGAAACAAAATACATTTTTTTAATTAGCTTGAAGATAATCATTCAGTCTGGACACAAGTAATCAAAAGACTAATCCAATAAGCACATCATCTGGCTAAAAAAGCACATTCCCTTGATGAAAGCACACATCAGCAAAGTTGTGTTTACTGAAAGCAACTTAAAAGCTGAGTCAAATAACTGGATTAACTTAAGTAGTGCTTTTATCACATAATGAATGCGTGACTGTTTGGTTCTAATAAGGGATCGTCTTCTCCACAAAATAACAACACTGCATTGATAAATTTTCAGTTTCAGTCACTACTGGACAACTCTCTAATAAAGTTATAACTAGTAGTTTGTTGTGGTTATCCTTTTAGTACCCAAATAAAACGCCCTGAGTCACGTGATGTTTTGGTAAGTAAAGGCTTCCACTCATACCAATCAAGTGACACAGTCAAGAGGGTGAAACTAGTGGGGGGAGAACAAGAACAAGTCACATTGATCTTCCAACATTTGAGATTTTACAATTACATATGTTCTCTTACAGTTTTAAGAACAGAAAGCAGGTTTAACAAAAGGGTTTACAATGTAGCTTCTATTTAAATGGGAGAGACCGAAAACAATGGGTGCATTTACCGGTACTAAGAAATGTAGTACTCATGCTGTTCCTTGCAATATCAAGATGTGAACTGAAAGAGGACAAGTCTACATTTTAAAATACTTCATATCAAAAATGAAAAACACAATCCTGAATTTGGTCAAACACCTACTTGTACTAAGATAACCATTTATTTTTAAACACTACGTTTTCTTAACACTGCGTATTGAATCCCTAATTAGCTCTAGAGTATCTTTCAGGAACAGCCTTATATGTGACTCAAAACCAGTTTAGGCATTTATGGCTAGCGAAGCAGAAACTCAAAAACACTGAAACTAGAAAATCCTTTACTTAGATAGTTGGAAAGAAAATACCATGTCAGGGTTATTTTATTTTATTAAAACAAAACTCCCTTTACACATCTAGTTATTATAGTTGAAATTCAAAGTCAAATTAGTAAAACCTAAACCATTCCTTTACTTCGAGGTCATGACAAAGTTCAGATGAATATGTAACTAAGAGTTAAAGAAATCACAGTCGCTTTAATCAACAAACATCCTCATGAGTAGTGGTTTGATTTGGTATATCTTTAACAACTCCAACCTACCGTTTTATTTGACACAATTAAACGTGTATTGCGATTTGAAAAACGTACTATTATATAATCAATATTTAATTAGCAGCAAAACTTAATGCCATGAGAAATAAGTAGGGGTATTTCTCATGTTACTCAAGGGTAGCAACATGTGGCTATCACATTTGAAGAGACATTAAAATAAAGAAAAGTGTTGCAATCTAATTTCAAACCACAAATGGCATACTATGCAAAATACTATCTTAGCCAAGCATGTAAAGAGGAAATACTGGCCAGGGTTTCCTCTTTACAGGAAAATAGTTCTTTTCTCTCTCTCTTTTTTTTTTTTTTTAATGACAATAACTCTCAATATGGCAAATCACTTATACTGCGAGTTTGCTCATTCAACATTCAGCTTTGTCATGAGACCTGCAAATTACATTTAGCACTGACCTCGTAAAACAAAAACAAAATAATTAAATATATATACACGCACATATTTGTGGAAAATGTTTTTTTTTTTTTTTTTTTTTTGCTTTTTTCACAGGTAAATATGTAGAAATAACAAGGATTGTGATAGCAAAACTAACAAGGTACTTTAGAAACTTGAGAATATACATCTCAGAATATACAATTGATTAGCCATTTTCTAATAAGTGTCTGGATAGCTAAAAACCCAACAACGACAGTAACACATCATTTGCTGTTTTTGGATATATTCAAAATAGGAATTCATTTTGACCAGATAATTGTCGAAACCGCACACTCGAGAGTTTCGCTAGGTGGCAGGAAAAACATCAACTTAGCATAGCAACAATTTGTCAGCATTAAAAAAGACATACCTTTAGGAGAACGGTCCAATTTCTCTGGTTGTCCACATTTAGGCTGAGGAGCTTGTCATATGAAAGTCATAAAATCTCAAACTTCTCTTTTGGTTTCCTTTGGCGATCTGTTTGCTACCGTCAGCGTCGCTAGCTAACGTTAGCTAATCAACTAGCCAAAAGCTACAGCAACTAAACTGCCAACTTTTTCAACAGACGTACTTCCATTTTTTCCCAACTTGTTTTACAAGAAAGGTATCGTTCCCAAAACAACTGTAGGGGTTGTTTAAAAAATTGTCTTCGTCTGTCTTTCCGACGTCGCCTTTCCCGGGTTACTATGTTGACGTTTTTCAACGGTGAAACTAGTATCCAAGACGGATAGATAAGTTACAACGAAATATCGCGATAGCTGGCTTGCGTCATATGGTCTGACGCTCTTCTCAAACACGAAAAAAACCCTGTAACGATCGGTCACATTAGAAATTAAATTCCCGATAACCTAGATACTTTCTAAATACTAAAACCTAAGCATTTGGTGCCTGCGCTTTTGTTTAAATAGCACGTATGACAATATATGAGTTAAAACTCACTGACATGAAAGAAAGCCCCTTTTATGCACATAGAATACAGTCAAAACGACATCTTAGACTATACTACCCTCTTGTGGCCAATGTGGGTAATACATAAACCATTCAAAAGGTGTGTGCTCCTTTTAAACCTGCACAGCTTTAGTTTTAATTTTTCATAAACTTTGTTTTCGCTCGAATCGGCTATTAAGGCATTTTAAAGGCATATATTTTGATTTTTACAGTATTTAAAACGTTGTTCTATCTATTTTTTCATTGACAAACATGTGATGGCTGTAAAAATTAAGAGTTTTTTTTCTGCAGCTTGTGGTCTGGATGTTCACAGGTGAGTCATAAATATATAAACCGCAGTGCAGTAGTCCGTTAAGATGACAGATCATCGGGTTTCCAGGTTATGGATTTTTGTTAAACCATGCAGAAGGCAACAAGTAGGATTCTTGTAATGTTTGAAAGCATTTCTGTTATGAAACAGCTGATGTCTTAGATTGCATCTCAGCCACTGCATTTATAATCGGCTTAATTGTATGTTATGATATATTCTTTAAAAGGGGGATGTTATTTAGGCAATCCATCCTTTTCTTTCGGTTCCCCTCGGCAAATAACCTGCTATAACCCAGACTCCCTTCCACTCCTCCCTCATTCTCTCTCCTCTCTAAGGACTCAGAGGAAATACTACAGTGGAGGTGGTCGTTTCTACAGACGCGTTTTCATTTTTTATATGGAAAGAGGACCGAAATGGACACAAGGTTTTGCCTTTTAGGTAAGAAATTGAAATTCCTCTTTTTCCAGTGCACTAAAATAGTAGAATATAGAATATATTTTGCAGTTTTCTAACTGCACACAACTAAAAGGTGTTATTTTTTTAATGGAAGATGGAAGGGCTGAGGAAAGAAACACTGTCAGTCACTTTTAGTTGATTTTGTAACACAAAAATTTAATAGAATTACAACTGAATGGTTGCCCATCAGAAATCAAAGCGTAGCTCATCCTTTTATTGAAAAATTATTCTACAAAACATTCAAAATCAATGACAATGCATAAGTCATTCTTCAATGCATTCTGAATTATACTCAGTGACAGAGCGTTTTGGCACTATTCTGATTGTTTAATAAAATTGTCAGTATGAGAAAGGAAACAAATCAGACAAACAGACTTTTAAAAACAAAATGTTTATCTGACTTGCTCCCTAATAAATACAATCCTACAAGGTTTTCTTATAAGGTTTACTTCTGACAATTAGTTGAAGAAATTATCTTTGTTTTTATGTATTTATTTAGAAAAACATACCCCAAACAATATATGTATTGGGATGGGGGTGAGACATTAGGGCAACCTATTAATCTATTTTCTGAAATAGATTTAAGTTTAAACAGTTGGTGTTTGTTAGTTGTTAAAGCTACTAAAGGAAAACGCAGCATTTCCAGATGATTTCATTACTTCACACATCCTGTTGGTATCTCCCCCTGTAGGGTGGTGGGCTTTTACTAGAATTAATCAAGTGATCGTATTTAGCAAAGAGAAAATGGATCCAGTCTTTGATCGATTCCCCTTCTTTGGACTCCCTTGTTAATTATTTAATCATATGAATACTTACCAGTTACACCCCCAGTGTCTTTATTTCCTGTTTTATTAATCGTTTCTTCTTGAGTGCTCTGATTGGCCAGACCAAATTGCCCCATTCTCCCTGACAAGGGTGTAAATTGCTTTTCATGGTGTATAAATTAATGCTGCTGTCCAGCTCAGGAGGGAACATCAATGTACTTCTTAAGCTCTATTTTCATTGACCATACTGTGTTTAATAGCAGACAAAGTCTTTGGTTGATCGCTCTCAAAGATTATATACCGTAATTGCAGCAAACTGAAAACAGATTACTAACCCTTAAGCTCCATTTCCTTTGGTTACATTAAAACCCAGAATTTAATAGTTTATTCTCTAATCTTATGTGGAAGGCCAATGCAAAGTTATGCATGACTATAAACAAAGAAAAAAAGTTGGAAAAAATATAAAATGTTTTGACAATCATTGTTATTCAGCCCCCTTCAATATGTGGTCATATCAGAGGTTTGTAAGGGATCATTACAGAACAAACAGCACAGCAAAGAACAAAGGACAGGCCAGGGAGAAAATATGGGGGAATTTATTGTAGAGTTAAAACAGCACCTTCTGCTTTGGAGGAGCTTCAGAGAGACAGCACTCAGGTGGAAAATTCACTTCATAGACTAGCTATTGTTTATGCCAATGCAAGTAGTTTGATCTGTATTGAATAGAGAATAAAAAAGGGATTGCTTAAAGAAAACCATAAAAGTTCAGGTGATCGCGCAAACAGGAGGCATATGGATATCTGGGCAAACACTGAGCTTTTTTGCCTATATTCAAAATACCATTAGAGGAAATGGGTTTCCTCAAAAGGACAGAAACGTTTAAAAGAATCTTTCATACCATACAAAACAAATGCTGCTCCACGGACAAACATATTCAGCCCTAAGTTTTCCATATAATGTTTGTGAATTTTTTGTTGTTTATGTGTTTAATTCTTTTAAACAGCATGTGTTAACGATGAAGATAATGATTAATTTTAAAACCTGAGTCAACACCTTTGTTGGGTGAAAGAGTTCAGGTAAGCTACTAAAGAATGAAAACCATCTTATGCAACCGTGGTGTCAGGGACTCTTTTCAAGCTGCTGTTAGTCTAATTTAATTTTAGTGAGCGACACCCACCATTTGATCAGTCGTGTCCAAATACTCAGAATCACTTCAACGGCATGGATGTCTGAGAAATGTAAATGTTCGTTTTGAAGTGTCTAAGGAAAGGATCCATGTTATCAGATGTCCTGGTCTTTCTGTGACACAAAATGCAACCTGTAAATGGATAATATAGCGATGCCAATGGTCAGGAGGGGGCATGAAAGGTCAATAGGTAAGTATGGAGGTGGGTAGAGTACCCCAAAAATGTATTCAATGAAGAGAGGCACTGCTGTAACATTTAATTACTAAAGTAAAAGTAGAAAGTAATCATCTAAGAAAGTAGGAGTAAAATAGTGCTTCAGAAGAGGACTAGTATTGAGCAGCTGCTGGCTCCTAGCACCCGATTTAAACGTTTTCCACATAAACCTATAGACAAGACAACTTTATTTATATAACCCACATCTATACAAAGACAATCAAATATGCTTTACATGAATGAAACAATAAAATAGAAAAAAATAAAAGCTAGTGAAGATAAAAAAAGCATAAAAGTATAGTAAAACAATTAAAAAAGTTGGACCACAACCTGAAACTAATGCCTCAGTTAACATTTCAACATCTGCCATTAAAAGCAGCAGTTCTAAAAAGGCTAATACTGCACCGAACTGTGAACACACTACCTAGAAAACTAATCTTTACGGTAAATAATGCATATATAACAGGAACCTAAAGAGCCTCCAGCTAGATCTACTGTTTACTATATTTATAATGAAGAGCTCAAGTTACTCGTAGTGGCACTGTAACCAGAAGTTGTACTAGAGTAGCAATACTCTCACAGATTATTATTTAAGTCAAAGTAAAAAGTACAGTTAAGTACATCTACTCTTAAAAGTGTGTTTTTTTCTAATTTACTAAAGTAAGTTGTTTTCTAAAAGGTACTCATGTAAATGTAACATAGAAAATGTATTTACTCTTCCCACCTCTGGGTAAATATTTTTAAAGCTTTGAAATTAAAGCAGTGAGATATTAATACCAACAGAAAATCCGAAACAACGTATCACAGAGAAGAAAAGACTGACAAGTGAGTTTTTATGCTTTTCTGTGGTCGAAATGTAAACGAAAATTGGTAAACGAAAAAAAAAAATGTAAACGGAAATCAAAATGTGAACAAATTAGACTTGAATAAATAGGTATTGAGAACATAATTACGCAACACAGCTTAGACTTAAAGTTTCAGAAATATTTAAAGTAGGGTTAAGTTAAAAAAATGCAATAAAATGTTTAGACAGAAACATAAAAGAATAAAAGAAATAGACAAATAATACAATCAGTACGTAGCAGCTGCTGAAACATGTTTTGAAAAACTGAACATAACAGAAGTTATTGTGTAATGGTAGATTAATGCACACTGGCAGGTCTGAGCCTATAAAAGTGTTGGGTGTTATCAATGTGTGCTTAGATCGGTGGAAAAAGAATTACTGAAGTACCTTCTCTCACCTTCATAATAATCAACTTATGGTGTTGATCATAATCAGGAAATTTTTCACTCAGCCCTGGTGAAGTTATGAATCTCAGTCTGCTCTTGTTGAAAACAGCAGTTGGCCTCTTTATCTTGGATGATGACTAATTCCTGCATATTTATTTCAATCCTCTCCTGTAGTATGAAGCTCTTGTTAAACAGACAATCAGCAGTTCTTCAAAACACATTGTGCAAGTAGACTGATTATAATGTACAGTTTTCATTTATCTGAATACAGAAGCTCTGATAAGCAAGAAAATAACCTTTACGGTTTCAAAGTCTAGAGAGCCCATTAGAGAATGTCTTACTTGTTCTGCAAAAATACAAGAACTCTCTTTGGGGTTACAGTGTCTGGTGTAAAAATGAGCTGTAGAGTTGAGTTTTGGCAGCACTGTGGCAGATGAAGGATCCAGAAATGTGTAGTTTATGTCTACCTTGAGTACTGTTTTTTTCCCCCATTGTAGCACCCAGACAGCATGATGACACACAGGATGTCAAATCTTTATTGGTATCCCAGTTCTACAACTCTATACATGTAGTTCGGACTCTATTAAAGATTAATTGCACTGAAAGTTGAAAAGTCCTGTATTTAAAAAAAAATGTTGTCCATGAGGGTCACGGGGCGAAAAGCAGTGAACCGAGACATAGAATAGTGTTTCCCAAAGTGGCGGTCAGGACCTAATGGGGCTTTGCAAGATAGTCATTGTGATGTGATCTCTTAGGTATTTAGGCAGCCAAAATATATCATTAAATGCATCAATGTGAATGTCTGAAATGTACCATGAAATAACAAAAAAAATGTATCAGTTATTTGTTAATTTAAATCATAATTCAGATATTAAATGTACTATGAAATTATAAAATCTACAATTGAGTAATAACATTTCAATTTAAATAAATACAAAAAATTAAAACGATGACTTTTATTGCATTTATTAATGCAATAACAAAAAAATTAATAATGTAATTAGATAAATAGGTATTTTATGGGGGGCACCAGTCTGTTGCATTGTTTTTTATGGGCCTGTTCACAGGCTGAAATATATGGAGAAACCCTGACCTAGAAGACATGTCTTTAGACTGTTGGAGGGAGCCAGAGAAACCCCACATATGCATTAGGAGAACATGCAAACTCCATGCAAAAATACTCTAGAGTGGAGTTTGAACCCAGGACCTTAATGCTGGAAAGAAAGGGTGCTACAAACTGTTTCATGGTGCAGCCTGGATTTCAGGATGCATGTCAAGTCCATTATTCAATTATAAAATACATCAAACTTTTGTTTGTTTCTGAAGAAAGTCAAAACTTAAATCTGAGTCATTGGGAAAATAATTAATTAAATTATTGATTAATATTTAAAATGCTTCATTATCCAAAGGAATTCATAATACCATGCACTGCAGCAACAATTGTCTGCTTCTGTCTCCTTAAACCCCAGTGGGTCTTAGCAGATGGCCGCTCACACTGAGCCTGGTTCTGCTGGAGGTTTCTTCCTGTTATAAGGGAGTTTTTCCTCTCCACTGTTGCTACGTGCATGCTTGGTGTGAGGGATTGCCT